CTTGGTGCCAACACCACAGCTGCTAAGCCATCTCTGGCTTTAACTAACTTACTCTTTCCCCCTTCCTTCCTTCCTTCCTCTCTCTTTCTCTCTCTCTCTCCTTGTCTCTCCCTTCCTTGTCCCTCTACCCCCCCCCCCCCTCAGTTTTCAAGACAAAGTCTCTTACTGGCCTAACATTTGCCAAGCAGCTTAGCCTGGCTGGCCTGTGTCTGCTCCTGTCACTAGTATTACAAACACACACCACCACACTTGGCTTTTTCACCTTGGTTCTGGTTCTGAGCTGAGGTCTGTGTACTCGTGAAACAAGCACTTTACCAAGCAATCTCCCCAGTCCTTGGACACCTGTCTTAATTATTTAGGAATGTCTTCTGAATGTCATGCATCATAGAGCCATGGGCCTGTTAACCATGGATCCAGGCTAGTTGGCTTTCAGTCTGAGGTGGACAAATGGAGGAGGTGGGTTTAAGCCTGTGCTTTGGGAGCTTCTTGGTCTGTGCGGATGGCCCCAGTACTTTGGATCTGAGGTGAGGCAGAGAGACATAGTAGGGGGCACATGGTGGGGGACCTGGTGGGAAGTACATGATGGGGACACACGGAGGAGCGCATGAGGGAGCACACGGTGGAGCACATGGGGGAGCACATGGTGGGAGCATGGTGGGGAGCTCATGATGGGAACACACGGTGGGGTACAGTTACTCACCTCATAGGAGTCAGAGAGCATGAGGGGAAGGAAGATGACAGATTTTTGGGACCCTCCCAAGGGTTCCCCCAAAGACCCAATTCCTTCACAAGCCCCACCTGGACTTTGTTGGGAGACCTTTCTTTTTTCTCTCTCTTTTTTTTTTTAAGAAGATTTACTTATTTGTTTACACAGTATCCTTTCTGTAGGCCAGAAGAGGGCACCAGATCTCATTATAGGTGGTTGTGAGCCACCACGTGGTTGCTGGGAATTGAACTCAGGACCTCTGGAAGAGTAGTCAGTGCTCTTAACCACTGAGCCATCTCTTCAGCCCTGGGAGACCTTTCTTTTTGTGTATGTGGGGGGTGTTGCAAGACAGGCTTTCTCTGTATAACAGTCCTGGCTGTCCTGGAACTCAATTTGTAGACCAGGCTGGCCTCGCACTCACAGACACCCACCTTCTGAGTGCTGGGATTAGAGGCCTGGGCCACCATTCCTGGCTTGCTTCAGGGGATATTTAAGATTCAAACCATGGGGCTGGCAGGATGGCTTAGCAGCTAAAGAGCTGCCATTGGTGCTGGTGCCTGAGTTCAGTCCCCAGAAATCACATGTGGAAGGAGAACCAACTCCTGCAAGTTGCCCTCTGACCTCCATGGGCATGTATCCCTTTCCTTCTAATAAATAAATGTAAAAATAAAACTGTAAGATTTAAACCAGGCCAGGGATGGTGATGCAGGAGGATCTCTGAGTTTGAGGTCTGCCTGGTCTATGGAACAAGTTCCAGGAGGGCTACATAGAGAGACCCTCTCAAAGAGCCAAAAACAAAACAAAACAAAGATCCAAACATCCAGGGACCAACTGTAGAAGTTGAGAATATCCTCTCTTCCTCAACATAAAGCCAGCCACACTGAACCTTATAGAAGAGAAAATGGAAAGTACACTTGAACGCATTGGCACAGGAAACCACTTCCTAAATATAACCCCAGCAGCACAGACACTGAGAGAAACAATTAATAAATGGGACCTCCTGAAACTGTAAAGCAAAGGACATGATCAACAAGACAAAATGACAGCCTACAGAATGGGAAAAGATCTTCACATCAGACAGAGGTCTGATTTCCAAAATAGACAAAGAACTCAAGAAATTGGACACCAAAAGATCACACAATCCAATAAAAAAATGGAGTACAGACCTAAACAGAGAACTCTCAACAGAGTAATCTAAAATGGTTGAAAGACACTTAAGGAAATGTTCAGCATCCTTAGTCATCAGAGAAATGCAAATCAAAACAACTCTGAGATTCCATCTTACACCTGTAAGAATGGCCAAGATCAAAAATACTGATGACAACTTATGCTAGAGAGGTTGTAGGGAAAAGGGAACTCTTCTGCATTGCTGGTGGGAATGCAAGCTGGTCCAACCCCTTTGGATGTCAGTGTGGCGATTGCTTAGAAAATTAGGAAACAATCTTCATCAAGACCCAGTAATAACCACTTTTGGGTATATATTCAAAGGATGCTCAATCGTGCCACAAGGACATGTGCTCAACTATGTTCATAGCAGCATTGTTTGTCATAGCCAGAACCTGGAAACAACCTAAATGCCCCTCTATTGAAGAATGGATAAGAAAAATGTGGTACATTTACACAATGGAGCACTACACAGCAGAAAAAAATGACAACAGCTTGAATTTTGCAGGAAAATGGATGGAGCTAGAAAACATTATTTTGAGTAAGGTAATTCAGTCACAGAAAGACAATTATCACTCATAGGTGGTTTTTAAACATAAAACAAAGAAAGCCAGCCTACAAACCACAATCCCAGAGAACTTAGACAACAATACAGACACTAAGAGAGACTTACATAGATCTAATCTACATGGGAAGTAGTAGAAAAAGACAAGCTCTCCTGAGTAAATTGAGAGCATGGGGACCTTGGGGGAGGAATGAAGAGGGAGAGGCAGGGAGGAGAGCAGAGGAAAATGTAGAGCTCAATAAATACCAATAAACAAACAAAATAAAATATTCTCTGTCTTTTTTTTTCTTCAAAGACAGTTATGTAGCCTAGACTGTTTTGAAATCATTAATACAGCCAAGGATGACCTTGAACCCCGATCTCTCTGTCTCCACCTCCCCAGGGCTGGGGTCACAGGCATGTACCTCCATGGCTGGGTAACACTCTGCTGCGAATGGACCCTCATGCCTGCTGGGCCAGCACTGCAGTCCCAGTCCCCCGTGTTGGCCTTCAGGTCTCTAGCTTATCTGGGAGGATGATCCAGAGGTTCCCATTGGAGACGGTGATAGCGGGAGGCGAAATGCACAGTGTAAGATTTGAGTGACAGTTCGGGGAGAGTCTGGAAAGGAAAGAACTGAACGAGGAGTTGAAGTTTGCTATGAGTTGAGGTTGGAAGCCAGCGGCTGGATGAATTCACCTGAAACCGAGGGCAAGGCTGCAGCTTACCCAGCATGTGGAAGGTTCTGGGTTTCAAATCTATGACCTCAAAAAAAAAAAAAAAAGTGTGCCAGGTGGTGGTGGCTCACGCCTTTAATCCAAGCACTCAGGAGGCAGAGGCAGGGGATCTCTGAGTTTGAGGCCAGCCTGGTCTACGGAGTGAGTTCCAGGACAGTCAGAGCAACACAGAGAAACGCTGTCTCAAAAAACAAAAAACAAACAAAAGTGCAAATGAGAGATGATTGGAGTTGGAAATTGACTTCCTCTACATTGAGTGAGCCTGTGGCTGTGGACTGGGGGGGGGGGCTCGAGTTGTAGGCGGAGTGGCAGGTGGGAAAGAGTAGAATCGGGAGACGGATCAGCTGGCAAAGGCACTTAACATACTGCAAGCTCAGAACCTGAGCTTGATTCCTGGGACCACACAGAGGTGGGAAGAGAGTACTGACTCCACAGGGTTGTCCTTTGTCCTACACACACACACACACACACACACACACACACACCCCACACAAGTGGAATTCACAACCCAGCCACACAGCGCTGGAGGCAGCTGCACTGGTAACTTTCCAAACTCACATGGCCTGGATCCTCACAGTTTTGGTTTTTTGTTGTTGTTTTTCTACACACAAAATCCACATCGTGGTTGACACACTTGAGCTATCAAGTACCGTTAGCGAGACGCAGAACTACAAAAGCCAGAAAGCAAGGTTCGTGCATTTAGGTTCCTGAGACTATGGTCCAGGTCTTTTATGGGCTAGGTCTTTGCTCCTATCTTGTCAAGTATACAAGCTGGGTTTTAAGGTCAGAATGATGCCTGTAACATGTCATTAGTTGTGCTGAGGTCTGAGGGCCTGTTAGAGAGACCAAGGCAGGAGGATTACGATTTTGACATCAGTCTGGGCCACATCGCACGTACTACCTCAGTGACAGAGACTGATCTCCTTGCAGGGACGTGCCTCTACTCTGTGGAGGCTGCAGGGACTTGGGATAGTGTGGGCAGCTCGGGACTCAGTATAGAGCCTGCTGAGATGAAGGTGGGTTTGGAGGGACTTAAGGGTTAGATATTAAAACAAACAAACAAACAAACAAACAGCCTTTTCGAGCTGTAATTTACATAGCATGTAATTTACTTGTTTAAGGTATACAATCAAGTGGCTTTTAGTAAAACCAGACTTGTCCTCCCATCACCACAATTTTAGGATATTCACATCACCCCAGAAAAAAATCCTGTACCAACAAGCAGCTGCTTATTCTCCATCCCTAGAAAGCCTCGCTATGCTCTGTCGCCAAAGACCCACCTCTGCCGGACGTTTTATATCCATCAGTTAAAGGGCCGGAGAGACTGTGGGTAAATGCTTGCTGCTGAGCTCAATCTCTGGAACACACTTGCTGGAAGGAGAGAAGCTGTTCCTGCAAGTTGTCCTCGGCCCTCCTCACTTATGTAAACCCACACAAACCACAATTGAGAAGGTGCAATTAAAACTTTTGTTGGCAGCCAGGCGGTGGTGGTTCATGCCTTTAATTCTAGCACTTGGGAGGTAGAGGCAGGTGGATCTCTGAGTTAAAAGCTGGTCTAGTTATTATAGTGAGTTCCAGGTTAGCTGAGATATATAATGAGATTCTGTCTCAAAAAACATTAAGTGTGTGTGTGTGTGTGTGTGTGTGTGTGTGTGTATGTGTGTGTGTGTGTGCCTGCACTCATGCATGCTCAGGCCAGGGGTGTTTAAACTGCTTGTGTATCTGCATACCATGTTCATGTAGTGCCCACAGCAGGCCAGAAGAGGGTGACTGATCCCCTGGGACTGGAGCTGGAGGTGGTTGTATGCTACCATGTGGGTGCTGAGAAATAAATCCAGGTCCTTTGGAAGAAAAGTTGGTGCTCTTAACTGATGGGTCATCTCTTCAATCCTAAAAAAGAATATTTTTTTAAGGGTTAGACGCAGACTCATGGACAGAGCCTCTATCTTGAATTTCCCACCCCACAATGAGGGGTGGGGGCGTGGCTCCACGGTAGAGCACTTACCTGCCTGCCATATGTAAGACTCTGGGTTTCATTCCCAGCACCAGAAGTAAATAAATGCAGATGAATAAATCATGCCTTATAATACCCGAGACAGTGTAAATGTTGTTTGAATAGTCATTGTTTAGGGAATAATGATAAGAAAATTTCTGGAGCCAGGACTCAGCTGGCAAAGAACTTGCCTAGCATGCATGAAGATCTGGTTCTGTCCTCAGTATGGGATGAACCAGATGTCCTGGAACTTGCTTGTTATCCCAGCACCTGGGTGGTGGAGGGAGGCAGGAAGATCAGGACTCCAATATAATCCTCAGTTACACATTTGGTTTGGGTCCAGCCCTAGCTCCATGAGATCCTATCTCAATACAACAGTAAGCAGTTCAAGTCCTAGCTTAGTCAGTACAGTGCTTGGATTACAAGCATGAGAAACTCCACTGGATTTCCAGAAGTCAGGTGAGAAACAGCCAGACATGGTGGCGTGTGCTTGTAACCTCAGAGCCGAGGAGGTAGAGACAGATGGATCCCTGGGACTTGATGGCCAGCCAGCTTACCCTGCTTGGCAGTCTCCAGTGCAATGAGAGACCCAGTCACAGAAAGCAAGATGAGGAATCGAGGAATGACAGTGAATGTCCTCTGGACTTCATACTTGTGCATGGACACACGTGCTACACACACACTTAAACCTGCCAACACACAAACAAGAAGCAAAACTAAATACCTCAGCTGGCCTCAACATATCACACATACTCTTTGGGGCTTTTATTGTTGTTGCCTTTATTTTCTTATTTTTTGAGATGGGGGTTCTCTGTGTAGCCCTGGCTGATCTACACTCATTCTTTAGGCCAGGCTGAGATAGAACTCACAGAGATCCACTTGCCTCTGACTCTGAGTGCTGGGATTAAAGCTATGCTCCATCACACTCACCCAGCATATTCTATTCTATTTAAGGCAGAAACTCACATAGACCAGGCTAGCTTCATACTTGCTGAGGATGATGATCTTGCACTGATGATTCTCTTGCTTCAACCTCTCAAGTCTGGGTTACAGCTACATGTTACCATGATTTTATGATCATCCTTGGTTTAGGAGTTCCACCTCTGATGGCGGAGGATACAAAATAATTCCATGCTAGTTCGGAATTACATATAATAAAGGGTTATTTATTTAGGGGAAACTTACAGATCACTGTCCTAGATCACAGTCCTCTGCATGAATGGGGAACAGAAATAGAGTCTAGCAGCCGGAAATGAGAGCAGGAAGCAAGAGAGCGAGTGCAGGCCTTACAGCTGCATTTATAGTATGAGAGACCATGCCCAAGTGGGTTGGTATCTTAGAGGTTATTGGCTGAAGGAGCAGAAGGATCTCCCACAGCAACTCCCCTTTTGTTTAAATAAGAGAGTTCCGAACCCAACACAAAACTATATAGACTAGGAACAGTTATTAAGTATAAGGTTAGAACTACAACCAGTATAAACAATATTAAGCAAGGAATGTATGCTAAATGTTTTAATAAACATTCTAGCCTAAGGAGTCTAAATCTTGTATTGGAAATAGCTTGGTTAGATCGTAAGGGACGGTAACTATGATTATCTAATCTTCAACCCCATCAAAAGCCTGAGAAGGGAGATAATATTACTTATGTAGGTAGGAAGTGCAATCAAGCAGCTTCCAAAATGTGCAGTAGATGACAGAGGCAACTGGCTATCTGAGCAATCACCCAAAGTCTCATTTGCAATGTTGAAGCAACCAACTTTGGCTAAGGCCTAGAGTAACAACTGACAGACGACTTTCAGAGGCAGGAAAAATTTCAGAACCATCTTATGGTATCTTGGCAAGATTTGACAGTCTTTTTTTTTTTGTATCTTGTTTGTTCAATTCGGACATGGGGCACTTTGTCAGTGGTAGAGGTATGGGCAGTTTCTTGCCCAAAGGCCATTTGTGCCAAGAAGACAAACCTCAAGTGGAGTGTCTTTGGAGTCCATTACCCTCTCAGGAAAAGACTGATGCTGCCAGGAGCAATTGTGTGTTACATCAACAGAATCCTAAGTTATTTAAATGCCATGTTCTACAGATCTTTGAAGTGGTTGAAGGTTACTATCTATGCAGAATACATTTCTATGTATCTAAAGAACCTAATTGGTCTGACTAAAAGTATAACAAACATGAATGACTATTGACCTATAATACTTAATACCTATATAACTTAAAGATTAAAACTTCATATCAGAATATTAAACAATCTTTAAACAACTGTGCAGTAAAGGAGGACAATGACATCAAAATGTAAACAATCTATAAATATCTTAATCAGAGGTAGAAATATAGAATGCAATATGACAAATATATCCTAAAATTGTATCAATATACAAAAGTCTTAAACAGAGGTAGAAACATGCATGCATACATTATGACAAAATAACTTTGCATAGGTGTACAAATATTGTAAACAGAAATAACAAATATAATTTGAATTTGTATCAATATACAAGAAATTATACCAGTGTAAATTGTCCATAAATAATAGCTCACAAATATTCACTATTATTATTAGTGTGAATAAGTTCACACTAGATTACATATTATCCCATTCAATCTTCCATTTTTCTGAGAACTCTAGGCCTACATAATTTCCACCCTAACCCTCAACCCTATGCGAGTAATAATAAACCCCTAAATAGTGTCTCTAACCATGAAGACAAACTTTGTTGGGAGAGGGGATGTCGCTTTTTAGAATTGCTTCCTGCTGTCATGGGGATGATGTTTTCCTATGGGATCCTGTAAAAGTAAAATGATGGTTAAGTTTCAAAACTGCTGTCTTGTATTATTACAAATGGTCTCTGAGTTGTTGATAGAATCTTTTTGTTTGTTTGTTTGTTTGTTTTGAAGTTCTTATTTGAAGTTCTGGCCAGAACATTGAAGGTGCACCATTTCCACAGCTGGTACCTAAAACCCGGTCTCATAGTAGCACTATCAGCACCATGACATCATTGTTGGTGGAGTCATTGTTGTGGGGCCCCATCTTCTTTCTGGAAGATTCAAAGATTACTGCAGGAAAATCTACTGTTCGTTGTGGAAAACTTAAGCATTATTCTTATAGGCATATATTCAAAGAAAGATATGATATAAACAAAATGGGCATGAAGAAAAGTAAAATATTTCCTTAAAAATCTGTCTTCTTTCTGTCTCATACCAGATGGCTCCTGACATGAGGCAGAAATTCTGAATTTTTTAAAAAATATTTATTTATTTTATTTTTATATATACAACATTCTGTCTGTATGTATGTCTGCAGGCCAGAAGAGGGCACCAGACCTCATTACAGATGGTTGTGAGCCACCATGTGGTTGCTGGGAATTGAACTCAGGATCTTTGGAAGAGCAGGCAATGCTCTTAACCACTGAGCCATCTCTCCAGAAATTCTGAATTTTTATTTTAACAAAATGCTTGGATTTAGAGAAGGATGGCCATTGTCAACTCCAAAGCTAGCTCTTATTTTTAAGTAGAGATGTAGATGTGTCCAAATAATCAAATTTTATCATGCAGATAATACAGCATCATAAGGCAGATTTCTCTTTGCTTGTTGATTCTTTCTGGATAGCTATCTTTTTGTCTTTAGGCATCTAGATGTCCAAGGTCTCTCCACTCTTTGAAGATGAATGTTTTCCCACAAAGACAAGAACAGAACCCTGCCCCAACCCTTATGAGGTTTTCTTACCACCTGTATGGTTACCACCTCTGTGGATGAGCCGTCATTTCTCATTCTTAAGAGGTTTCTCTTTTTCAAACTGAATATATCAATTTTGATGGCATCCACCCCTGTGGAAACAAGAGTGAAATCTCTTCCCTAATGTAGCACATCTCCTGTTTCCATTGTGAGGTCAGCACATCTTTGAAATATACTGGCTGATTTAATTCAGAAGTTTTTTCTATCATCCAATGTTTCTGAGGATCAGAGTAATGACCTTTGCCAAGAGTTTGATCTTGACAAGTTGTTTGTTTTCTCCTGTTGCTCGAAATTTTTTACCTCTTCTTTCCAATAACACTTCCAAAGCAGCTGAGGTCCATTTTCTAGGACTGCTGAGATTAGTTGAAGCCAATCATATGGAGTAGCCTTAAAGCCTGAAACCCACATTTTCACCATTGCCCTGACAAAAGGTGGATGTAGCCCATAAGAAACTATTGCTTGTTTTATTCCTTTTAGATCACTCATAAGTATTGGTTCCATGCATATTCTTTGACTACCTTAGGGTACTTTGTGCCAGATGGTCTTTCTGAGGAAATTACTGGATATGTAGTTGAAACTCTGTATAAGTCATCCCAGGGTCTGGCATGTTCTGATGAGGCTAAGCACTGTCCTTGTACCGTCTGTCCCTGCTCATCAATTTCAATAAATTCCTCCATCTTTTCAAATCTTTACTACTGCCTTTTAAAAGTCTGAATCTACTGTCCAGTTCTCTTCTAATGTCCTCACTGAGGATTTCAACTTTTTCAGTAAAGATAATGTCTCATCCTTGAACTTAACTTTTCAACAGATTCCAATATTTAGTTTCAACAGCGCAAATTCTTTCAGATAATTTTGTCAAATTGATGCTATCCCTCTTTGTAGTATTGAACCATTTTTTAATGAGATGATATTGAAAACAAAACTAATTCCTAGAATCAAATAAAGGGAAGGAAAATAGTGTAAGTCTTGCACAATACCTTCCATAATAAGCAAAAACAATTATTGAACTCCTGGATGTTATCAGTCATTTTTTGTAGTTTTTCAGATCTTACCTGTCATAAGGTAATTACAATGAATTGGAGTAGGTGTGATAATTTATTATTTTTAGGTATGTTTCTTGTGTCCCTGCTCTCTCCAAGACCTTTATCATAAGGGATGTTGTAATTTGTTGAAAGCTTTTTCAGCTTCTAATGAGATGATCATGTGGTTTTTATTTTTCAGCTTGTTTATATGGTGGATTATGTTGACAGATTTTCATATGTTGAACTATCTCTGTATATGTAGGATGAAGCCAACTTGATCATGGTGGTTGATGGTTCTGATATGTTCTTGGATTCGATTTGCCAGTATTTTATTTAGTATTTTTGCATCAATGTTCATGAGTGAGAATGGTCTGTAATTCTCTTTTTTAGTAATATCTTTCTGTGGTTTGGGTATCAGGGTAATTATAGCCTCATAAAAAGAGTTTGGCAGTATTCCTTCTGTTTCTATTGTGTGGACTAATTTAAGGAGTATTGGTATTAGTTCTTCTTTGAAAGTCTTGTAGAATTCTGAGCAGAAACCATCTGGTTCTGGGCTTTTTCTTTGGTTGGGAGACTTTTGATAACTGTTTCTATTTCTTCAGCAGTTATAGGTCTGTTTAGTTTTCTTATCTGGTCTTTATTTAATTTTGGTAACTGAACTGATATTTATCCAGAAAGTTGTCCATTTCCTTTAAGTTTTCTAATTTTGTGGAGTACAGGTTTTTGAAATATGACCTGATGATTCTCTGTATTTCCTCCAGATCGTTGACTCTGGATCTGGTCGCTGGCTCAAACCTGATCCGCCAGTGTCCCGGGACTGGATTTGCTCCTTGCTTCTGCCCTCTCTTTAATTCTTATAGTCCACAGAAGATCAGGGAAGGAAACTGAGTCAAAGATGGGAAGTTGCCGTGCCCCATGTACACCCCCTCTTTCTAGATAGAGTCCTATATAGCCCAGGTGGATCTCAAACTCATTATGTAGCTAAGGATATCTTTGAACTCCCGATCTTCTGGTTTCTACTTCCTGGGGACTGGGTTACAATTGGAAGCCACCAGGTCTAGTTTTATACAGCGCCAGAAACAGGACTGAGTCTTGTGTGTGCTAGACAAGCTCCCTACCCATTGAGCCAGATCTCCATTCCCATGGTCCAGGGTCTGGGTACAGATCTTCCTTGGTTTTGCTGTTCCACTCTCCATACCCCTAGGCTTGCCTTTTGGAGAGAAGGGATGATTAGTCTATAGCTTGATGAGGATGCTTTAATTAGCCAGGAGCTTGTTAATGAATGAGCAGCTCGACCCCGTAAATTTCAGGTTAATTGACAAAGCTGTAAGAAGGGAATCCCAGCCTGGGCCCAGCTCAGTTTACCCAACATTATGGCCAGCACCCAGGTGGCTTCTGGGAAAGTCCCCAGCTGATTTGCATATTCAGTAGCCCTAATCACTTCACTTCCTCAGCAAGTGCTGATAGCCACTGTTCCCAGCTG